TCAAAAATTGGCGGGCCTGCTGATAAACTAACCAATAGGCCCTAAAGCAACTTATTTGACTATAGTATATCAACGCCTCGGACGAAAAAACTTCAGTTTAGATTTTTCAATGTTATTTTAAATGGGAAAATCTGAACTGGGCTTGTTTTCGTCCGAGGCTTCGAAATGTTGTAGGCTATGGCCCTCACTTATGCATATTTGATACACAGTAACGCAGTTAATACAGTTATATTTAGTCTTTCTGGGAACAAAAAGCCAACTTTTTTTGTCTCGGTAAGCCGGCTTGCTGTATCATTGCGAGATTTATGTAATTTTTATTAATTTCTTGTGATATTTGCAGCTTCAATCCTTGATGATGAACTGTTTTGCTTACGAGAAGTATGGTGTTGTATAAACTAGTGTTAAAGCATTTTGTTCCATTATCATCGACAAGTGATGCAAAATCAAAGCAGTGTAAATGTGCATACTGCTCTCAAAAGTATGCTTAGCATTCAATAAGGATGGCAACGCATTTATGCTCAGACTGAAATAATTGCCCTAGTCATGTTAAACTTTTGATTATGCAATGCATTACTAATGATTCGAAGTGTGCAAAAAAAAAAAGAAAAACGCAGGAACAAGAGAAAATGAAAGTAAAAAAAATGCTTCAGATGCTGATTCGGCACCAGCTGAAGAAAAAAGAAAAAAAATTGATGCTCAAAAGCATGCTCAAAAATCCAACAAAATTATTACAAAAATAAATTTTGGCATATTATTTCATGAAGCTTACAGCGCAGTTTTAAAAAAGCTTTCAATTTTACCCAACAGCTTTAAAAAGGCAGGAATTTATCCTTTTAACGCTGACAAAGTAGATTATTCTAAGTGTATAACATATCGAAGAAAAGCCATAAAAAATTCTTGTCAGAGTTCAAGTGACATACAATGTCAAGACATTTCTGCAACTGCAAATGCCAATGTTGATATTGAGTCTTAAATACCTGCTGAGATTGTGAAAGATTTTGAAGATCACATTCTTTTAGGCACAGAGCCCGCGGAGGAGAAAGTTTTATTTTCGATCTGAAAAGGGCAAAGGTACCAATTAAAAACTCAAGTATTCTGAACGTGTTAGTTGATGATTCACTTAGCGATGATAAATTAGAATCAACCAAAGCTGAAAATGCAATAAAAAATATTTCAGTCATTAATTTAGAAAATTCAAGCATAGAGATGTTTGATAACTGTTTATTAGCCAATAATGTTAGTATAGAAATCATACGCTGTGATAACATTGAACTTGAAAGTATTAAAGAAGATGAAGAAATATATGTTAGTACAGATTCCAAAGATAGCAGTGTTAGTTTATTATGTGTAGAAAATGTACAAAAAGACGTGCAAGAAAATTCAAAAATAATTACCTTGACGAATACAGAAGAAAAAGATGATAGTTTAAATTTTAATACTGCTACTGAGATACAAATCAGCTCTTCGCAAACCACATTAGCCTCTTTAAAAACTGACAGTACTTATTTATATAAGGATGTGGACAAAAACTTTGATGATAGTTGTAACAGACGAAAATAGGCGTTTAAAGGTTGCGAGTTAAAAGGGCAACGTTACTGTCTACATCAGAGATAAAACATATGTAAATTTGGCTAACGTATGATGCAATGATTGAACGTGGTCGTGTGGGGAGGAGCAAACAGTAAATATACGACGTGGATGTCGATTTGCCTTCTTTGTGAAGTCATCGAGGCGACTTGTTTTAGGCGCGAGAAGCTCGCGGCTGTCAAGCCACCATTTGTTATCATAGACCTCGATAGGAGCGAGAAGTTCCGGTTGTACTGACGGTCGAAACTAGCGTGCACAGATGCAGGTCTGGGGCCGTTCAGGCTGAAAAGTAGTCTCGATGACACGAAGAATTAAGCTGTGATGTTTCCTTTCATATCAATTGGTACAGTTTTTGAATTTGGCGGTTTGCTCCTTCATTATCGACATACAGTGCCCCAACATCGAAGCTCGCGAGAAATAGGCAAAATGCGGGGTATGGAACTGCGGTAGAATGGGGGGGAGTAACGAGCGCGGCGGCGCAAGGGGCGCGACGCTCGCTCGCTGGAGCGAGCGGCAGATGTTCACGGGCTGCGAGCGAATAAGGTGAGTATGGCGCCTGAACGGCTTTGTACTAAATTAGTGAATATATTTCTTTTTATAAAATAAATTGTGTGTTTTAATTGTCTCTCTTGGTGATCTAAAAATCTAAAAATCTAAGCGCCCCTCGGTCGTTATCTACGACCCGCACTCGAAGGTACATGTCGCGAATGTCCGCCTTGCATGCGACGGCGTGTAAACGGAATCGACTAAGTACGCCGGGCCAGGCTTGCAACAGATCGGGACCGGCATCGAGCTGATCGTTTAGACTGATACCCGAGGCTTTAGCTGCAGCGTCGAATACGAGTCTTACACGATCTGGTTTAGAGTCGTTCGTTACGCCGAAATGCGGGAGATACCATACGCGGGGTCGGGGCCTGTCATCGTCGACTCGGATTGCGTATCCGTTTTTGATCAGACGGTCCATTTCTTTGAAATAAAGCGCGGCAAACCTTGGATTTTTATCCAATTTTCTTTCTAGTGAACATAGTCTATTAGCCGCCATCGCGCGATTATCTACTCGTGGTGGGGCGACGTTGTTCCACAGCAATCCTGTCTCCCACACTTTTCCCAACGAACGACTCGTCTCCGTCAATATTTTTAATGCGCGCTCGTGGGCGGGGTTGGGACGCGTCAACTTTTTCAATAGTAGAGTACTGGTTGAGAAATTGAATAATGTCTACTAGAAAGCTGGAACGAAGGAAGGTAAACAGAAGGCACTAGATTCATCGAACAGCATTTAAATGGCAATTTCATTAGTACCGCACCTTCAACCGTCAACATCACCCCTAAATTAAGTGTCTCCAACGTCTGAAAAATTAAGTCTTTTCTCAAATGTTATCAAAGAACCATCATTCACTACCAGTTCACCTGCAATTGGTGAGTATTATAATAAAAAAAAAACGGTAGTTTTCCTACGAGTTTGAAAAGTCTCTGTTTGCGAACCGAGAGGTTTGCGGCCCGAGCCGAAGGCGAGGGACGTAACGAGGTTCGTAAAGGAGACTTTTCGAACGAGTATCGGAAAACTGCTTTTTTTCCCGAGGAAGTACCAGCCTCCCAAAACCACCCGAGGGCGGAAAACTGTTTTTCTAAACTTCTTACAGTATTGTTCTTAAACATTACTTTTTTGCGCAGATTTTTCCAAGATAGTGGAAAATGATTATAGAGTGAAAGAAGAACTTCTGGAGAGATGTCTGCCTTCTTCTAAGCATGTGAATCAAATATGGAAAGAAAATATACATTTTTCACATATAGAAACTTCAAAAATAAAACAAAAAAAAGATTGCACATGCTCCTATTTATGCTTTAACATCAGAGAAGTGGAAAATGGAATTTAAGAAAAAAAATAGAGGAAAAGGAAAAGTTCCAACGGGAAAAAGAAATCAAAAAAAAAAAAAAAGAAAGGGAAAATATTCTAAAGAAAAAAATTAAGCAAGAGGGAAAAAAAAATTAGAAAAAAATGAGAGAAGAGGAAAACATTCGTAGGCCCAGAATTCCATTAGAGAAAATAGAATCAAGAAAGAGAGCAAAAAAAGAGGAACGATTTAATAAAATAATGCAAAACCAGAAACAAGAAGAGGAAAGACAAAAAGTTAAAAAAAATGAGCAACAAAAATTAATAAAAAAAAAAACTATTAGAACAAAATTTCTCATTTGCTTTTCCACAAGAATGAAAGTATTTAATAATATGCCTTATTAGTTTTATACTAAAAAGTTTTAAAGANATAACTTTATGCATAAAATAAAATAAAAAAAGCGATTCAAAGGGTGCGTTCAACTAGCATCGTAGAAATAAATCCCAAGCGCTCAATGCTTTGTAACCCAACCAATCGAGTGCCTGCCCTATTAAATAATTTATTATTGGGAAAATAAATCCCAAGCGCTCAATGCTGTGTAACCCAATTGGTCGAGTGCCTGCCCTGTTAAACAATTGATAAATAAATAAATGCCAAGAGCTCAATGCTGTGTAACCCAACTAATCGAGTACCTGCACACTTAAATCATTTAAAACCGATCTTTGTCAAAACCATTCATTTACTGGTGCATTTACCCCTATAGTATATGTCCTAACGTACAAAAAAATGCTCAAAGTAGAAAAAATTATTGTTCTTACCTAGGGTGAAAAGCACAACTACATCACGGATAGAAAAAATTTTTTTTTAACATGAGCACAAAGTTCAACTACAGCTTTGCACCCTCGGGCCACACTTTGTGCCTTTGTTATCACTTTAGGATCATGGGCATATAAGTGATTTGCCGGGTGCAAAGTTTTTACACCGTAATAATGCGTTTTCACAGGGTATAAAGTGTGCCCACAGCTCAAAGTACGACTTTGCGCCCTTGGAAAGAGAAAAATATCGGTGGCACCTTGGCTAAAATCATATGCAAATCCTATCCTTCGGACGAGATTTTTGTACTTTGCACCTATGGTACGAAAACTACTATACTTTCAAAAAGTGATAAATCGTCATTTTCGTCCCATAGATGCAAAGTAAAAAAAATCTTGTCTAGTACGCGAGTCTTTTATATAATTTTACCTAAGGGGCGAACAGCATTTTTCTTTTCGAAAGGACAAAGCCGTACTTTATGCCCGCTAATTACTTTGCGCTGTAGGGAGAAAAAGGACTTTGTGCCTTTCTGTGGTTGCAAAATAAGGCCCAAGGGCGCAAAGATTTTGCACCCATGGTAAGAACACTTGTTTTAATAGTAAATAAAATAAAAATTATTAATATCTGTTTTTTATAACTTAATGATCTAGTATTTATCAAAAAGTCTTAAAAATAAATATTTTAAATCAAAGTTAAGGGACCAGTGTGCTGGGTTGCATTGCAAAAAATGACGGTTACAATTATCCTAATAATTAACTTTTACCATAGGTTACGAATCTGAAGCCTGACACAAACTACGTGTTTTTGGTGCGAGCGGAAAACAGTCATGGTATGTCGTTGCCTGGGCCAATATCCGACATTGCTCATACGATAAGCACTGATCAACACGTGGTTCCTGAGACCGAGCTGATTCGCGCTCGAGATCGCTTGAATAGCGACATTTTGCAGCTGCGGGACGTCATATCTCTAAGCAGCACAAGTGTCAAAATTGTCTGGGATGTAAGTATTACAACAATAAACTTCAAAAATTTATATACCAGCTTTTGCTGCCGAAAGATTTATAAAAAAATATTGACTTAAAAAAAATTTTTTTTTAAATAAATAAATAAATTAATATGCATAAGATAAGTCCGCCTTG